AGTTCGTCGCAGGCCTGTGTTCGTCGAGACAGCCAAGAATTCTCCGGTTCAGTTCGCGACAACGATCGAGACAAGCCGGAATACCTTCGCGATGTCACCTTTACGTCGACGAACTCTCCGTCTCTCGAGGGACGGAGAGGGGGTTGAAACTACGAGGGCCAAGATTCGAATCGTCTATCGTTCGCTCTGCTATTCGACTCGAACGATTTCCCATCTCGCCTCGTTTTAACTCGTATTAGGCGCGGGGGATGGGGACAGCGGTGGTTCCCGCGCGATACCGAGGGTCGACGTTTCGTTTTCGGTCTGAAATTGAAAATCACTAGCGCACGAACGCGTCCGCGAACGGTGAACGCACGCGGTGGCGATTCCAACTGCGAATATTTAATGCAACGTCAATTAAGCGAATTCGATGGGTAAATTGGCCCTACATCGATTCCCCGCTTGCATGCAAAGGCGCGTAACTGGCGAATGTTCCGGGACCGCTAATTACGTATTTTCGAAACGACGACGACGCTCGGCGTAGAAATAATCGCGATACCGGATCGTGAGCGTAGATCGTGGTTGCAGTCCGCCGGTGGTGAGAGGATTCCTCTACGGGGAAACGAAGGGCGTACACTTTTTCCCCCGGTTTCCCGATTTGCCCGTTCACGCGGAAACGGTTTATTGGTCGGCGACTCGTTCGAATGGAAAGAAACGAGCTGAATTACGGAAGCGATAAAAGGCTAACGGTAGCTAGGCTGCTCCGGCTGGGCCCGGAATCGAGGATATAAAATATGGTAATGCAACGCCGGATTCCTTTAACGAAAACGCGGCTCTCTCTCTCTCTCTCTCTCACGCCACTGTAATTAACGAGTCGAAAACGGCGAGGTGCCGTCGGGACGAGACGGGAACGGGACACGGGAACGCTCGTTCGACGGAGATACACGGCTCCTGGACAATTAACGACAACTGCGGATGAAAATCGGTTCGCGCGCGTTCACCCTCTGCTCGTCGCATGTTTCTACGGAGACGTTTCTCGAGCGTCGAGATATATGCGTACACTCGCGAGCAAACTCGGCTTCTACTTGGGAAAAAAGTGGCGTAGAAGAAAAGTCTCTTACCACTTAGTAAATTTATTTCAAGTACTGAAATAAATGTTAATTTCACATAAATTTCAGAAACATCCGAATTCAAATGGTAGAAGGCCCTACTTTTTTCCCCTAGCGAGAGCCGAGTTTGCTCGCGAGGGTACATATATTCGAGGGACGATATCCGGAGCTGAAAAGAAACGACTATCGACTATTATGTGTCGAAAATATGTGGGCAGCGTCGAAGTCACGCGACGATCGAACGGATCGGTACAGTTACCGGGTAGGAGGAGAAAAGAAAACGCTCGGCGTGGCCTTGCATCGAGCCACTGCGGACAATTTCGTTTCCGACTCGAGAAGGTCCATCCCCAGATACCGGGTAGCAGTGGTAATAGCGGTAGGGGAATCGAAGTTGAAAAGCGCTGAAATCGCACTCTGTCGAGTAGCTTTGCAGGAGAACGCGGATGAAACGATCATAGTCGGGCACTCGGACAAAGAGAGAGTGACGGGAATATGGGAGAAAGAGAGATAGACGGAGAGAGTTGGCACAACGAGAATAGGGGAAGTTGTTAGAGCTCGGTATCGTGTGTGATCAGGTAAAATGGTAAACGGAAGAGAAATATAAATGTGGAAATAATTAGAGGATCGTGGAGGGGGGGGGGGTTGGAACGATGTAGGTCGTGTACTCGAACGACTGAGGATCGACCGACGAAGGGAGGAACGTCGAGGGAACGACAGACGGAGGAGAACGGTCAATTATGTTGCGGGCTGGAAAATAATGATTCCAGTCGACGAAGAGCGTGCTTTTCGATTGCCAATCGATTTGCAGGAGGCCTCTCCTCTGTCGACTGTGCATTTGCCAACGAAGAATACAGGCAGGGGGGTGGGGTTGGTTCGTATCAACATAAAGTAGAAAAGGCGCGCGCGTTCGATTCGAGAGGAGGCTGGAAAGAAGGCACGAGACGCACGCGGAGGATTGTGCGAGCCGTGACAGACGACGCGAGAAAAGAGGAGAAGAAAAGATTCGAGGAAGAGAGAAAGGGATGACAGGGGGGTGGCGCGGGTCGATGGGGGCCGCGGAGTAAGCGGGCAGGAAAAATGATGAGCCAGAAATAATTAGCGGGGTTGCAGAGCGCGGTCGGCCGAACGCAGATGTGCCAAGTCCGTATGAAAAATTAATGACATCCCGTTCTCGGCGTTTCCCTTCTTCGCCCCCTCCCCCTGTCCCTCCCACTGCTGCTTTTACATCCACCCCCCTCCCTGGTGTGCCGGAGTTTATTCCCTCTTCGATTCGTTTTTTTCCTCTTCTTTCCTTTTTTCCTTAAGCCCGGTTTCCCTTTATTGCCAACCCTCTTTCGACGATCTCGCGTGTCTCGACGAAATTTAGCCGCGCCACGATCCCCGATAGGCTCTATAATTATCCCGTTTTATCTTCATCAGGTGGGGGGGCGGGGGGTGGCTCTGGGGGAACGACTCGCGACCGAGGAGGCGATATAACCTCCGCCCAAACGCTTGCTCCGAGTGCGTTTTCGATTCGAGTCCGGCACACGCTCGCCTAGCCTCGTATTTATGCCTCGTTCCTAAACCAGCGCAGCACCGCCACGAGGTTTTCTTTCCTCTCGTCCCTGGGCCATAACGTCCGCTCGTTTCCCGTTCGTTCCCTCCACCCTCCGTTACTTTCATCCCCTTCCGTTTGTTGGGAACGCCGGTGGCCCCTGTTCATAAATCCGTTCTCTTCTTTTTAATTTGTCTTCGTTAGCCGACGTCAATCATTTTTCGTTTTCCTGCTCTGTCGTCGTCGTCCCGTCGCGTCGGCTGCCGACACCGTCCCGCCAAGTTTTCCCTGTCTCGTTTTTCACGTTTTTCGGTCGGCCATGACCCGATCGATAAATTGCATAGGTACGCAACACCGATTCGAGCCACCGTGACGCCGCCGTCACTCCGTAACGAGCCGAAGAAACGAACGAACGAACGAACGAACGATCGATCGATCGACACACCGTGAAAGCGCAACGGAAACTTGGCCGATCCACACGCGGCCGTTTAAAACGCTTCGCGGCCCTCGAGTTATCTCGTTACCCTAGTTCGTTTCTATACCCACTTTTTTTCATCCCCCCACCCTTTCGATCTCCGTATCGGACCAGGATGTCCCAGACGAGAGGATACGCGCGAAAGCGTCCTCTTGCACACCTCGAGAGCGTTCTCCAATTCGGTTAAATGGTATTGGTACGACGGGGAAAAATCGTGCGCGACCGATGAAAATCAAAATTATAGGTTTCCCGCATCCATACACGGAGGCAAGGGGACGGGCGCGATGGGGAGCTTCGTTTAACGTTGATGTATGCACGATTGTCGAGCGCGGCCGCAAATGGAGCGACGGACAAATATTTACAGTTAATATTATCCCGTTATAAAAGCGGCCGCCGCACCATCCCTGTCGCGATCGACGGGACGCGTTATAACACGTGGTATTGATAAACGAGAGAACACGTCGCGCGTCTGCTCGGCATAATACCGGTAATTTATGAACGAGAGAATCGGGCGACCCAACGACCGACCGAGTTTCTCCTCGACCCTCGCAATTAACTTGTCGCACGTGCTCTCTGTCTCTCTCTTCCTCTTTCCACCGAGGGATCCGTCTTTCTCTCGCATCGAGGGGTTTCCGATATCGTGGTTAGACGCGCCTTTTACTCATTCACGCTAATCCATTCTCTTTCGCGAGTCGCCTTACCAACCCGGTTAAATCGTCTGAAATTTTCATAGGGGACCCGAGCACGCGTGTGTGAGTGTGCGTGTGTTGGAGCGCATGTCCGTCTCGAATGTTGCGCGGTCGTTTTTCTCGGTGGCACAGACGACAGAGAAACGATACCCCTTCCACCGTTTTTCAGCTGGCTACGCGAGCATCGGTCTTTAACTATGTTCGCTGTCGTGAAAATCACCGATCACTCGGAATTGATTAATTACGGCGCAAAAACAGAATGATAATACTTATCGGCGATCGACGCGTTACAAGAATCGATTTCCGTTATGAACTTAACGAGCGATCAGAGGAATGTCGATGTTCGAGATCCACTTAGGTACCGAGGCTTATCTTTGTTCCACTTTGATTCTATTTCTCTGCATTCGTTCCTCGTGCTGTCCCTAAACGCGAGATTTTCGCTAACCATTCTTCGTTCTTTCCTTTCGTTGCTTCTTTTTCCAGCCTTTCCTTCTCGTGCTCCTCTCGAGCTCGCGTACCGGAACGTCATAAATTCCAGCAATCCTGCTCCCGGCTCTCTTACTCGCTACCCTCTTCTCTACTTTCCATTCCCCTTCCTTCCTCTCTCTTCTACTTCACCATTTCTCTACCACTTCCTCTGATTATTCGTTTCCCTCCATCCTTCTTTCGGCCTCACTCTGCCCGAACAATCCCTCTTCTTTTTTCCCGCCGCAATGTTCGCGTAGGTCACCCCCTCTCGGAAACGCCGCGATAACGCGGAAAGAACGACGGAACGTAATTAGAAAGAGTGCCATTTTTAAAACGGTTCCCCGTGGCGAGCGCTACGAAACTGGAGTCAGCATTCGCGGCGACCATCCCTTTCGGACGTTCGTAATCTCACCCTTCTTCCCTCGTTCAGTAAGATTATTCGACTCTCAGAGAGCGGCAAGCGATATTAGCCGGGGGAGGAAGGAAAAGGAGCAAGCCGGGTCGTTTTGAAATTAGGTAAGCCATCTAGTACGCTCATCCGCGACGGAAAGCGGAAAAGTTCGATTCGCGTAGATACGGCTATATAGCGAGATGTGATTTCGGTGAATTGCTCCGTCCCTTATACTCAACTCGCTCGAAGAACGCAGTCTCAGCGGTCTAAGAAAAATTATTCGCACGTTTCGACTACTAGATTTTCGCCCTTCGGTTTTTATCCTTTCGATACACGTGGATCGACTGGTACTCACCCTCTTGCCTGAGAAGCACGGCGAGCAAGAGTATCGCGAGATCCATCCTCGGGATTCTCGCGGTAGCTTCCTCGCCGATCGGGATCACCGAGACTCGAGCAGGCTTCTTCGTCACCTTTCACGCTTCACCTGTCTCTTCGTTCTCGACCGTTTAACGCTCCCAGGTGTCTTGCGCGTCTCTGCACCTTTCTTTCTTTCTGTTCGACTTCAGCAACTTCACTGTCCTGTTCGACGGACGACAGACGTCGCTGAAAATCTAAACACGCGCACGTTTCCACACAATCACTGGGGGTCGAGGGGAAGTCGCGATAGGTCAAACCGATGCATCGATCAAAGAGGCTGCTGTGGGTTGGCCAATTTTGATGGACGGAGGTGTTCCTCGTCGCCTAGCGTGTTGAATCTATTTAAACCGGCGCGATTATGTTCGTACTGTTCTAATTCTCGCGCCTCTTCCCGGTCGATCGTACTTCTGGGAGCTCGAAAACGATTTCGATCCTCGTCCCAAATCCTGTTCAAAGGATTCTAGGAAAGGATAAACGATACAAGGGACGGCGTGAAAACCGATAGAAAAATACCGAGAGAAACACCGTTGCGATTCGATCCTCGCTGGTATTACGTGTCGTGTTTTTCGTCGAGTGGGCTGGATGGATGGCTTGCCCGCTGGCTGGCTGACTTTGCTCCATAGTGTTTTCGAGCGTTTAAACGGTTGGATTTCGAAGTTTGCGCGATTTTTGAGTAACGCCGCGTCATCCGATCTACCAGTCCGATAGCGGGGGTCGCCGCGATAGTTTGGCACCGAGACAGACCCCGGGCTTCTCCTCTCTCTGGAGGACGGGTAATTCTCAGTCGAATCTCGTACGACGATCGCAGCGTCGACGAAAAGTAAGATCCGTCGTCGCGTCGGGCGAAAGAGAGAGAGAGAGAGAGAGGGATTCGAGGAGATTCGAGTGGAGGTAAAAAGGGAGAAAAAAATAAAAGGATGTACGACGTTGGCACTCGCGAGTCCGATTTCCGTCCAGCCAGTGTCCGTCTCGGTTGAAATTATTTCGCTCCATCTCCCCTCACCCTGATAATTACCCACGGGAAATGCTCCGGCCCAGCGAAACGAGTGTGTACGGTGGGAATTTCTGGAGAGTCGGATATCGTTGGAGAAAATGCCGAGAGTATTTTCCCTCGAATAGCCGCGGAATCTGCTCCCGAAACAGGCGACTTTACGATTCGACGTCTTTTCGCTTGAGGTGAACACCTTCGCTCTCGGTGAGAAAATGCTAACCGCGATGGAACGAGAGGGAATGTGAAAGAGAAAAAGATAGAGAGCAAGGGCGAGGAGAGAAAGGCGTGAGAAACAGAGAGCAACGACAGTGGAAGGAAAAGCCGCGCGGGATAGAAGAAAAGAGAAAAAGGAAAGGCAAGCCCCGGCGTACGGAGGGTACGGCTTTTAAATGCAACTTGTTGCAATCTCGCCGAAAGCTCCGTAGCTTCTTCGACTGGGAACCCGACCACGTGTGTGTCTTTCACGTTCGTGGAGCGTAACACGCGTGCTTCTGCCGGATTAATCGATCGCGATCGAGTGGTTCAGTCCCTGGATTATCCTGCGGTCGGGAAATCGAGCGAAAGGTTCGTCGACGAATCCCGCGGGTCATCTAAAAATAATCGGGTAATATTTGTAACGATCCAGGTCGCGTCGTGATTCACGGAAAATTTGAGATTCGTGAGACAGTTCTCCGATGCTAAAACTAGAAACGTCGTAGGGTATACCGAGGGGATCGAGACGACAGCCGAATTATTAACCGGGCCTGGTTGACCGGTGTCACCGGACGATACCTACCCCTGTTCGTTCGCGCGACCCTTTGTTTTTCTTTGTCGCGACACGTGCACAAGAATTACCCCCTTTCGCGTCGACTAGGGACACGCACGCGATACGATTTCTCTCATTCCTTCTCCTCTCCGTTCTATCCATTTCTCGTTCACTCTCTTTGTACCTTGTCCCCCGTCACCCTCCTTTACCAACTGTATGACGCGAATGCGTATTGATTCGACCGAGACTATTCCCTTTCAGATCCATTCAAAGAAGGGTTGGGGGCTGAGGGACCACGGTGAATTCGGGGTGATCTGTTGCCATATTCGCATAGATGCCGGTTTACACGCCACACGATCGATAACATCGATCTACGTCACGATCTACGTTCGTTGAAATGGTATCAGGGGAAAAAACTCGACGAAGTAATGACAATTGCGCTTGGATTATGACTCCTAAATCCGTCGATCGTTATATGATTAGGATTAAGAGCGGTCACCGTGACGCGAGAAGAGATCGATCGACGATCATCGTATCCACGAAAACGAAATCGACAGCTAAGGGATACACGCGTAGAAAGGGAAAACGTACCGAAAGAACGTTCTTCGAGAACGATTTAAATCACGAAGGCGACGAGGATACCGAACAGTTCGAACGTGTGGTATCGATGGTATCCTTACTGCAGGTGGATTCTTGATGCGGACGACGCGTGCGGACAGCGTGTCTCGGAAGCGTTGCGCGTGTTGAACGGCGACGCGACGTGTCGCGGCGCTGCCCGGCACGACACGGCACGGCGAGGAGCGTCTCCGAGTGAAAGTTCGCGTCGCGGATGGCCGATGCCGACTACGAAAGCTCGACGTCGCGCCAGTTTAGGTCCGTGCGCCGGTATGGGTCTGTGTACCTGGGCGCGTGCGCGTTGCGAGCCGAGCAGGTGCAAAACGCACGCGGCCGCCACTCGAACGAAAGGTCTGACGCGCGCGGCGAGAGTGGCGTCGAGCGACGCCAACCCCAGCAGCCCACGATCGCTGATGAGAAAGCCGATCATCGGCTTTCGACGTTGCATCGATCGGAGTATTTTTTGTTTTTCCTACGATACGGATCCGATACCGTGGGCACACGCTCGATAGATTTTCCTCGTGGGATATTGGTGAGGTGCATTTCCGTTCGATGGAATTCAAAGGTATCGAGAGGACGAGTTCGTCGAGATCTATCCACGGTGATATCGAGAGTATCGTACCCTCATCGGACGATGCCTGTGACTCGGGAGCTAGCTCGTTCCCGTCCAATTTCTTAACCTTAACGACGATTTTTTGCCGCGATACGACACCTCGAACGTTCTCACTTTCTTGCTTTATCTCTGTCTATCGTACTGCAGTTCTCTGTGGACGTCTGTCTTTCTCTCTCTCCGTTTCTCTCTCTCTCTCTGTCATTTGGAACGATACTCGGTGCAACGCCGCGCGTCCCGCGCGTAATTATCAATATCCGGCCCCCCGTTGCCAGCCAGACACGGCGAACGCGGATCGATACGAAACAATAGTTAATTCCACTCTGATTGTTGTTAGTATTCACGGTCCCGGGGAACGCGTCCCATTTCCGATCGAGCGGCTCGAGTTTTCTCGGTAGGGCAAATTGAAAATAGTCACGAGCGTGCGTTAACCGGATTTCGGATCGATTCGAGTTTTTCGGGTGAACGGTGGAGGGGACGATCGGGTGGTAGATCCCGCGGATTCTTGTCACGCCTAATCCACGGACGAGTCAAAGTTCCGTAAATATATCGTATGTATATTCATCCATGAATGCGCTAGCCCGTTCCGATTCGATCGTCGTCTGGAATAATCGCCACGGTGACTCGGGGAGATGTTCCTAATTTGATCCGTCGAGAGAGCCTTGGAACATGACGAAGAAGGCAAGGGCCGACGAACGAAACAATTATTCCGTGTCTCGGTCGGTGCGAGTGGCCGTTCCACGTGAATGGATTCGAGAGTCGCTTTAGAGGCGATAATAAGCTCGGTCGTTTGTAAACGCGTTCCGCGGGGAAATCTTCGCGGATAGAAAAAAGAGAGGTGAAAGAGGGCGGTGGAACGAGGCGAAAGAAAAAAAAAACGGAGGAGAAATTAACTTTCCACCGTTTTCCTTTTACCGACGATTCGTCGGTACGATATCTCCCCTCCCCCCTTTCCTCTCCACGTTGCGAGAAAGAAAGCGCAAACATTCCAACCCTAGCCGTCCTATCCTCGCGCAGCCGTTGCGGGATGCGCCGCGGTTCCATCGCCTGGCATGAAAACGTAACGGGATAATCGTTTTTCCCGACTCCCTAGGCCTCGTTCTCCCTTCACCCTCACTCCACTTTGGCTCACTTTGTTCCGCAAACTGAAACTGACGCGATGGCCAATTTCGTTCGTTACGGTAACGATAATGGTAATCGTTAACCGCGCGCGTACTCTGGTCCGTGCCGTGGCGCGACGAGAGCGTGGGAAAGAGAGACAGATATATATATATATATATAGACGAAGAGTGAGAGGAGAACGATCGACGTCGAAAGGGAACCCGTGGCCGGATCAAAGCCGACTCTTCTTTTTCGATGTTTCGCGTACACGTCCTACTCCCCGGTAGGACGGTATCGCTTTTCCGTCCGATTCCCGAACGAAAAGCGAAACTCGGTCGTTCGACGCCGAAGGACGGAGACAAACCGAGGGGTTGGGCGTGTGGGACGAGGATATGGAAACGTCAGGCTTTATCGGCGGGACGCGTCTTCGAGCTGGCACACGTTCGACGATGTGTGTTTTTCGACGGTGCGGCTGCTGGGTTCGAGTCGAAGCGATTAAAAAGCGACGAGCGAATGGGGAGTGGATCGGACCGATGCGATTATCGGTCCGGTTGCCAGTCGCCGCCTGCCTCTATCCCGGACCGCGGAGAGAACGCTGGATCGGCGATTTCGACGCACCCGGAGAGATCGTTGTGAAATATCTCGTTCCCTTTACACGCCCGATTGCGGTGCTCCTTTGAAAATAGTTGCGGTGCGAATCTCCCCCGTTCCACCCCCTGTCCTCCTACCTTCAGGTTCGTAGGTATAGACGATAAATTCCATTGTGGTTTTGCAACGGATTGAGAAGACAGTGAAATTGTTTTCGCCGGGAAACCGCGGCTGTACATCGTCGATTCCAACGATTTGCGGTGGTCACGTCATCAAAGACGTTGTACTTTCGGGACGGTGGCTTCTACGAGATTGGCGCAAATCGATTATCCCC